TACCTGACCGTAACAGAGCAGAATAGGAATGAAGCATCGAACATCGATATTTCGGGGAGGGGGGGGGGGAATCTGCATAGTTAGGTCAACTTGGTGTTTCGTCATCTATGTTCTACCTTAATATCCATTCATGAAAACTCCATGTTCCTAGCAACGCGATGTTGCTATGCAGATGAATCTTTGACGAGCCGCGTTATGTTTGTGACACGAGAATATACTTTATTTACAATATATGTTTACGTTATTATAAAGTTATTTTCGTATACATACAATTCTCTCGTATACTCGAAGTCTTAGAGACTGACAGTTTGTTAAATATTATTTTTGTAATAAAATTTTTATAATCAATTAACTCATGGCTGAGTACAATTCTTGTTATGTTCTGCTGTTAGATATTAATGCATTTATTATTGTAATCGTAATGGATTTTGCATACTTATATACTTTGACTATATATCCTCACAAATATATCCCCATTGTTACATAATCTATTTATAACAATGCTATCTCAAGAATTTGTCCGCTATTTCTAAATTTATTTTTAAATGTTGTCTCATGTTTTAAGTGGCAGTACGTCTATAAATATATGAATGGAAATGTCTATACATTCGTAATGTTATTTCAAATTCGAGTATAAATATCCCTACTTTTACAATCAAAGAGATTGCAAAGTTAAGTCACGCTATTCCAATTATAAAATTAATTAAAACCATAAGAATGAGTTTAAACATAACTGCAGTGAAAATTTATTGTTGATCATCACTAATTGATATTCCAATTTATAATTGGAATAGATGCATACAACAAAGTATATCTTATATAAATAGAATAGAAATAAAAGACAAATAGTAATTCTTAATTCTTAATATCTCGTATTTAAAGAATACTTGCATCTCTTATCGTGTTGCAAATTTTACCTGTAACGTAATTTATTATTAGATTTATTTTTATCAGAGAAGATACATATATAAACCTACAAATCTTGTTTTATACATAAAAATGCTTCGATATTAACGCAAAAGTAAACTTTATTAGATCTAAATGACCGATCGAAACTTAGTATAATAATATTTGATATAAACGCGAAAGTAGCTTTATTAGAACTAAATGAGCGATCGAAACTTAAGTATAATAATAATAATGATATCACAAATTCATGATGGAATAATTTATACAGATTGCGAATAAAAAAGAAATGGGTCTCGTTGGTCATTGAGAAGTAGCGACGATTCTCGCGCGATACTCTCAGACAACGAGACCGGAGGTATTCTCGTTGAACAGAGGATCCTTAGTTACGTCGCGTGACTACGTCCCGGTTAAACAGACGCTCTGGGGGGTGAATCACGTACGTGGCTACGCAATGTGTCTCTCGGGACGCAGGAAGTCTCGTTAGCATTGGCAAACCGGCCAGTCGCTCGCGGATAGCAGCGCTGGGCGCACACACGGATTCGCACACACACACACACACACACACACACACACACGCGCGCGCGCGCGCGCGCGCGCATCTGCGATCGTGTTCGATCATGGTGTCTGTCACAACGACGAAGGATTGGAGATACGAAGGACCTGATATCTAATCGGACACGTACGCGAAATTAGTCCCGCCGGCTCGAAACGCAAATTGACGCAGAAGTTGGCGCCGAGCGCCGAGACAGGGCTTCTGATTGAAAAAGCAGTCGAGGATCTCGTTAATTATCGGAGAGGAGACACTTTCGAAGGACGATCGGAAAATGTATTAGACCTATGACTATGACTATTGTTTAATTAGTCAATAAAATTGTATAATGTCAATAAAAATTGTATAATAATTGTGTAATTGTATAATTGTAAGATGTCCTAAAATTATATCGTTTTTTTACCTGATTTTATCTGTTTAACATTGTATTTTGCATATGAGAAATCTTTCATATTAAATAATAAAATATTAATAAAATATTAATAAAATATTAATTTTTACCTTTTTATATATATTATATAGCAATGTTTTAATAATACGTACATGTTTTTTTTTTCTAAAATTATCGTGAAGATATTGATGATATCAATAATCATAAGAACTTATTATATTGATATGACGCGTATATTTGATGGATAGGAATATACCAATAGCGTTCGGAACGAAGCAACCATGGTGATATTCCCATAGGGCCATTCTGGCCAAGATAGTAGATGGATAAAGCAAAACTCGTTAAGTGGATAACGGTGAAAGAGAGATACATTTTCCATTCGCAGGATGGATCCTTTCTCGTCAAATCGCCCCGTGGGGAAAAGGCCGCCTCCTTTGAAAAGTAAATGGCGGTGGATGGGGTTGAATGAGAGAGAGTGACACGTTTGAAATTATGTGGCGAATCGTCGCGCGCGGCGCGCGTTGCGGTCCGCGGGATAAACGCAAAAACGCTCGGCCGGTCCGCGGCGTGAGGGGGTGGCAAAAAGCGCGCTCTCCGCAAACAACCGAATCGTCGGTGCCGCGGAGATTGAAAAATATCGCGTGAAAAGCGCGCAGACGTCGATTTTAAATTGCCGCCGAGGGCCTTTTGCCGAAGGTGCAGGAATCACGGCTGCCATTCAAGGGAGGCACGAACGAATTGGACCGGGCTACAATGGGTCGCTGATTGGTCAGTTTTGCCGCTGACGCTCTTAAACGACTCGTAATTTGTAATCGCATTATCCGTCCGACGTTGGAAACGATCGATCGATTCATTTCCTCCTCCCCCCTCCCGCCATCCTCCTCCTCCTCCTCCTCTTTCTCGGGATGGGTGGGCCGCCCGTTTGCCGTTTGCCGCGACATCGCCCCGTCTCTATGGGAATGCCTGGGATCGAGAAGCCCCGCTCTCGGACCGTTTGCGAAACGGCACCGGCACCGGATTATATCTGTCCACGGAAAATCGGATTCTATCTCGGAACCTGGGCATCCGCCCTTCCCGCTCACCGCCTCCCTTCGTCCTTCTTGCATCCGTGTCTCCGCGCGCTCTTTTTATCCGGGCACATAAGGACGTACAAGATTTTCCGAGAATTCTTCTCCGGAAATCCCCGGGGGAGCGCGTTCGCGGTGCGATCGAGCGAACATCGAGGAACAGGATGGAGAAAGAGGAGGATAAGAGGACGACGGGGAGC